AAAAACATTTTTTTTTGGATAATGCTCAAAACTTCATAAAACATCGTTGGGAAACAGTGTTCGTGTTCCAAGTCGATTGAAAATGAGATCGAAAGGAGATCCACCTATATTGAGTATAGGAGAAAAGAAATTATGAATGGTAGCGGCTAACCGTGAGTGGCTGACCGAAGGGAGGCCGACTAACAATTAGCCGTTCATCTCTTTTACATTAGCATCGGTTTTATAAATAAGATTCTTGAATCAAGACTCGTGACGTTTCAAAGGTTTTGGAAGAATATGAATTAGGAATGAAAAGGATCTGTAATGAGATACTGCACGTAAAAGAATTCATCGATTCGTTGTGACAACGTTTTGATCTAAAAACCTGTCTTCGAAACATATAGGCTTTTCAGTTAAAATTAGCGTAAATATATTTCTTTACTCTTCAGTCGAGGGTAAAGCGAGTGACTCTCGACGAGCGTTACTAGTGTATAAGAATGATTATATATTATTTGTTCGCTTTCAGACAGACAAAGACTTCAAAAAAGTGTATATACACGTGTACAATCTGTAAAAGCGGCTTTTCACGCATCAACCATGCAAAAACATCCTTTAAACGCTTGTTTCAGTTATTTTCTGTTCGTTAGTGATAAAGATATCTGTCGTGTTAACAGATTCCACTGTAAACATCTTTAGTTTCATTAGGAAAGATTTCAGCCGTACTAACGAGTCAATGAAGAAGTATTTAGAATTCATGTTGTATTTGCTAATGAAGTAATGGAAATTTGCGGACCGTAAGAATGATCAACTTTTATATTCTTTTTCTTTTATCTGTAGACATTTTATGAAATATATCCATCTGTTTTCGACATGAGATTATCCTTTAGGTATTTACAAACTGTTTGTGAATATATTTTATTTTGTTTTCCATGGAATTTCTTCGTAATTTCTTTTCATTATATTTGTACAATTGCATTAAGAAATATTTTTCGAGAATATATTCATCCAGCACATCGTAATGCAAATAAAAATAACATTCGACGATTATTGATCAACAATCTGTTCAAGTCAATTTCTTTACAAGCGATTGAAGTGTTTTATAAGTTTTCTTTTACCACGATATCAACATTAGGGATTTACATTCACACCCTCTAGATGGTGGCGGATATATGGTAAGCGAAATAAACTCATTTACAAGTCAACATCAGATATAATACAACATTCATTAATTTACTCTCAGGCGGTAACAAATGTGCTCGATTGTTCGATAAAAATGCTCCATTTTCTGTGGTATTCATCGATCGCAAATCATATTTTCTCCATAATATTGCCACATTACGTACTTGTGTAGAACCAACCTATGCGCAGCAAATTATGATTCCATATGATCGACTACTCACTCATGATTTGTATTCAGAAGATAAAAATATCTTTTTCTCTTCTTTAATCGACTTCATCTTTTAGGTTGTGTCGTACAAGCCAAAGTGATATCGATCTCTTCGACTGGTGTAATGGTTCATGATTATGATCATAAGCTATTTCATTTTGATTATCTAGTTGTTGCTACTCGTACGCGTTTCCGAGCACTTTCACGTTACAAATCTATGCAAGAATAGATCGAATAGGCTCATCAAGTTCTTGTCATTGGTAAAGGTTCTGTTGGTGTCGAACTTTGTGATGAAATTGCAACCGTTTGTCCAGAAAAGGAAATTACTCTTGTACATAGTGGCTTCACTTTACTTCAATCGAATGTATTCAAAGAAGATTTGTACATTAATCTTCGGCATCAAATCGCGAAAATAGATGTTAAAATCTTATTAGAAAACAATCTATAACAGCTGATCTAACATTTATTTGTATACTAGAACACAAACGAATAATAAGAGTTTGATGGCAAGCGATTTAGCAAATAAGATTGATCCTCAAAATGATCGGCTCAAAATTAACAATTATTTACAAGTCGAAGAATATACAAATATTTTTGCTGTTGGTGATATCCCCAACAAGGAAGATAAAATGGCATATTTTGCTGGAAATCAAGCGGAATATGTCATATCTTTAATTCGAATTATCGAAGAAAAAAAGCTCCATTCTAAACAATATCAAGCTAGTCAATATCCGAGTATGCTTGTGACAGTCGGAAGAAAGAGTGGAGTAAGTCAATTACTAACGGAAGGCGGATTTATTATTGGTTTGTAAAAACTAGTTTTATATTATTCACAAATCTCAAAGTGTCGTTTTCTTTTTCATGTAGGAGACGCATTGGCAAAGTTTTTAAAATCAAAAGAATTTATGAAAGCATCCACACGATCGATGTCGAATTATAAAACTCAATCATCAGATGAAGTTCACCAAAGGAATACATGAAATCGACGGGTGTGGTGAATAGTTGAAGAGTTCAACTATTCGGCTATAAGACTTGAATCATTGAATGCAAATTTTGAGTTTGACATTAGTATTCTTTCGCATGAAAACTGTGCTATAACAAGTTTTGTGCTCAATTAATTATTCAGGAGAGAGAGAGAGAGTTACGCCGTTCATCCACGACGAGCATTATTTTCATAATTTATTATGAAAGTTTTCAATTGGTCTCTGCGGCAATAGAAAATTCTATATTATTTGAATATGTTATGACGTAAATGAAAAAATAATAAGTTGAAAATAAGATTATAACGAGTATACGACAATACAATGTGAATTATTTCATCGATCGAAAACGTTTGTCAATACTAAGAATGGATACATAACTTGATTCTCTATTCATCAAATACCTTGAAAAGAATTCAACAACTGAACTGAAGTCTCTGCTCTGAAAACCATCAATCCTGATGCAGAATTCTACTCCCGTATGCCTTACTCGTCACAAAATCTATCCATTTTGCACTAGAATCTCTCTATTATATGAAAATCAGTGTTATTTTTACGAGACAATTATTTTTTAATCCGTAAGTTGATGAAATAGTTACGAATTGTTTTTGTTCATACACAGTTTTGTCGAGCAAAATAGTCATATGTATTCCGCAGCCATTTAAAACTTCCTTTTCTACTTTCATACTATCCAATTACAACTAAAAGCAGTATATGCGGTTCGATTTCATACAGGAAATTGATTAAATAAATTAAAAATTATTGACAGTGGATAGATTGGAAAGAATTTTTTGAAATATACTTCAAGTCACCCTAATAGTCGTGTTTCCATTCCACAACATGTTTGGAAAGACATATAGTAGCAATAGGTAATTGAGATATAGCTCAATCATCCGGCGGAAGTTCACTTGTAGAAACCCGTATGAAACAGAGAATAAAAGAACTTCACAGAAATGTTACTAATCTTTTTTTGTACAATGCAAAGAAGAGCGAAGAAAAGACATTCACACCATCGTGTATAGTAAATATGTGAATCGAATAAAATTTTGTGACGAGAGTTTTTGTCAAAGAAAACTGATCGAATAGACAAACTCTTATGTCTTGTCTCATGTACTTGTTTCTTTAAATTGTTCGCTGTTGTACTGAAAGAACTCGATTGGTTCGTCGCCAAAAATATATTCGATTTCGAATTTCTCGACGAAATCGTTGCGATGAAATTAAGAAAACATAAAAACTTCCCTGAAAAAAAAAAAGAATTAAAAATATAAACATTGATCGAATAAGTAGAACATCAACATACACCGTAATAAACATTAGTGAACAAAGTAGTAATTGTTGATGCAAACGTTTCTTTGACTATTTGATCGGTATTTTTGACAAATTGTGATGAAGCCACCAGATATGCATTGTAAATACCATAAGGAGAAATGCTTATAGCAATGAGAATAATTTGAATTAAAGTCATTTTAACAACCTGAAGATCTACTTGTCGTTCAGCAAGAATTCTTCTCGAATGAATATTACGATAAGTTAAATATCCAAATGCTGTGGTAAATGCAATTAAGACAAAACTATTGTAAGTGAGAACATAAATTGATATATAAGTAGTATATCCATTATTAGTAACCATGCAAATATTAGTTGAAGATGTAATATTACCAAATATTAGTCCAGGAATACCGTGTAGAAGCCAAATAAGTATAAGAATGAAAATGATTCTATGTGCTCGTTTGATATGACTCCATTGACGAAGACGAACATTGCTTGATGTTATGAAGAATTGATCGATTGCAGTTAAATATGAACATGTAAATGACATAAGAACAAAAATACTAGAACAATACAAACGTATTTTACACCACACAAGCGATGTACGAGTTAAATCTATTTGGTGGCCACTCATAATAATTCGAGATATGGATACTGTTGTTAAATATAAGATATTATCAATTGAAGCAATGAGAAAATAAAATGTACAAAATGTTCGATAATAAGTACGGACACTTGAAAATATCCATATGTTAAGACTATTACCAATTATACCGATTATTACAACAAACCATCGGAAGTATATTGTTATCTGTTGACCAATATACGGTAAGGACATTGCTGTTGAATAACACGATATATCTAATAAAAGTGTTGTTTGGAAAGAAAAGGGAGTTTTATGTCGAAGTAATTTGTAAATGAATGATTCAGGCGAACTGAAAAGAGAGTGTATTAATGTTTCAAGGGAAGAAAAAAATCATTTATTTATATCTTATAGAGCTAGAGAAGTTAATAAAAATTTAATCATCGAAAGGATAGGAGAAACAAAGATTATGAGCTTTTACGTTGAATACTCAATAAATAAGGTTCGTCAAGGTTGACTTGCATTATCTTCGACAGAATTAACAACTGAAGATACAATAACCTCTATACGCATTTAACATAAAAAATATCGAAACGTGACCCTAGAATTGACCTCTTGAGAATAATGATCTCCATTTATCTTACAGATTTAAAAGTGAACATCAAGGTTGTTCCTATTTATGTGATGTATGCTATGGATGACTATTATGACCCTGTTCAATGATCATATTATAGTTACGAATGAAACGATATTAAAACGATCTAGGGGTGAGGGTGTGAAGATCTTTGACAGTAGACATAGAATTACAAGCAATGCTTGAAATTTTATTTGTTCGAAGAAAAAAGAAATAAAATTAAAACATTAATTTAGTTTTTCTTCGACTGAGATCAAAGTTCCATTAAACCACAATGTATGATGTTGACTGTACTTCCTTCTTGAATATTATAATCACTCACTTTTTGCTCATAACAAAGCTGTTGACCAACATTGATCAATCTGTGATGCCAACAATCGATTCCTCTCTTTTCTTCGATCTTTAACGTAATACTCTCCAAACTTTGCGATGGTTCAAACATCGAATGTGTCGTTCGTTTTCCACCTTTTTATGTTGACTAATGATCCATTTAAGTCATTTTATCACATCAGATCTTCAGTATTGACGAGAAGGATGAAAATGGCGCACATGCTCGAGAGTTTTCTAACTTTTGTGTTTATCTTAGATGAAAAATACTAAAAAAAAGTGATCGCTTTCTTGATTTTAATATTTGTTCGATATGGAAGAATAAATGAGTTTGAGATGACGATGAAATGTGAATGAGTGCGGATATTCGATGAATCTTTTTATTCAATTATATCGCAATCCCAAAACAAAGAATGAAAGGATTATATTACACTCAACTGACGTCAGTCGGATTTTAGTTTATTGTCATCATCATCATCAGCAAACATATTTGCCATAATTGAATTTCAGTTTCAATTAATCGTATTAGTCATTTCAAATTCCTTCGTAAAGCGACGTAAACCTAGTTGCCCATATTTCATCATGTTGTCAATCTTAAAACCAACGATTGTGACTAATAGCACTAACATATTCAATAAATCCCGTATTGATTCATGTAAATCAATATTCGATCAAATTTTCCTGATTACTGTTATCAATGTATTTAAATAGCTGCAACAAATAGATTATTTCCATCAGTCTTTGATTTGAATACTAAAGAAAAACGAGAATATTCTGTTTCCTAACAATGATGTTTAAAAATCTGCTGCTTTTGACATGTGTTACTATTATGATACAAGGGACAAGACAATATCAACATGATGGTCAACGCTCATTAATTGCGAATAGTATGCCACGTCTTCCAGTCAGTGGTTACCGTGTAGACGGTACCAAGGTTTATTTTAATGGGCAAATAGTTACCGGTCTATCTGTGTTATCATTCAAAGACCTGGGCTTTGGTTATGCGCAAGACAGTATTAACGTTTTTTTCATGGGGAAAAAAATGGCGGGTACATTTAGCACATCATTTTATGTGTTAGGTGATCAATATGCCAAGAATTCTATAGATGTGTTCTATGCTGGAAAGAAAATACAAGGTGCGTTAAATTCATCTTTTCAAGTATTGGGCAATGGTTATGCGAAAGATTCATTGAATACTTATTATTTGGGAGAAAAGGTACGCAACGGTTAAATTTCAAACGAATAAAAACATAAAATACAGAAGCAGGTTGTTGGCCTTCGCCACAGAAAAAGAGAAGTCTTGAAAGCGAAAGCTCAGATGGTATATTTACATTCTCATAAGCAGAGGCGAAATCGTGATATCATATAGTTAAACTCATTCTTATACAAACTTAACTGAATTCTGAATCTCTATGTCGATAAATCAATGAAAAGCTTCATTCGGAATCGCGATTGTAATCGAATACCTTCAAATATATGGATGTTGCTCGCTATGAACATTTAACTACTACTTTTGAATCCTCATTTTCTTCTATAATAGAGTTTTTCCAGTTTTATTATGAAAGACGTGATGCGAGTATGCAGAAACATATCGGTCGTTTATTCCATATACAGAAAATACAATGCAGATTGCACTCGAAGATTTGTCCAATGAAATATTCATTGAATGTTTGCAGTATTTTAATGCACATGATATTTATCAATCATTTTCAAACGACCCCATGATAACTTTTGCTCTACTACTCGAGGACTATTTACCTTGAAAGTTTCAAAATTTTCGTCCGACCGATCTCGAGATCGGTCAGAAATTGGTGGATGGAAGGTCTCCTTAAGTAAACGAGCAATCGATATAATAAATACGAATGATAATCAGAATAATCAGCCAAGCGATAGCGGATAGAACTTCATGACAACAATTGAAACAACACCATCGTTCAATATACACACGAAAAGCGATTTTCATCTACTAAACAAGACCTCCATAAAACTATACTGATCTTTTCGAAAATACTCCCGCAATTTAGTACGTAAAAACCTGACGAAGAAATTCTTTAAACAAAAGTCATATAGAAATAATTCCTAACTTCCGCAAGTCTCGGGAAAAATATTAATTTTTCATGACCTAGAAAGACTTGGAAGCCCTGTACCGACTACGACTAACGAGAATAACAAAATCGTCTTAACTTCGACGAAGTATTAAACCCATCATCATATTGGCTATTCTTCCGAATCAAACATGTTCCTAGTTCCTGCATTCGTGTTCCCGTCTTTTTCGAAAACACACAAAATAAAATGATATAATACCAAACCGAAACATCCACAGCAGTCAAAAGTAATAAAATAAGATCTGCTAACTCTTTTCCATAATTTTAGTTAGTCTGAACAAAATACGTATAAGGCTCAGCATAAACGACAGTATTGGCAGCTGACTCACATCTCTGTCAAATGATTCTACTCTTATAAGATGAAAAGTCTTGTAATATTGTAAATTTCATTTTTATTTGTATTTTTCATTGAAAATGAAATGGATAAGCCATTTGTAAATCGTCTTAACCGATGTGAAACTAGAGATATGGCAGCTGACTCGCAATCATCCTTAAGACTATTCTCCTGAGTAATCAGTACTTTTTGACACGAGTCTGATTGTAGTAGAGTGAATAGAAATCATAATCTATCGCCGAAGCTACTCCATATTGGATAGTGTATAAACGGAGTGTCGTAATAGACAGAAAACTCTGCAGACATTTTATCCGAATAAATAATATTGTCCAATCGTTTGCGTGACCGTGTAGTGGGAACTATTCATAAATTTCATCAATTCTATTGATCGACAGGAAAACTGCCAGCTCTACTGCTATTGTTATATTTGAAATAAACCTAACGGGTGATTTTCTTTCTTCAATTAAGATGGAAGTATTTGCTGGTTGCCACCTGCGTATAACATTTGGAGGTGCATTTGTATCTCCGCCAATGATAACCATATCGAATCCATCGGGTGATGATTCTTCTCTTTCAACAAAAGCGGCTAGCGCTCTTTGCTCTTCTCTTTGCTGTCGGTTCGATCGACTGTGATGGAGTGACACATAGAGAAGATCTTCATTGGTTGCGAGATTGTGTAGTCGTATGGGAATGCATTTTGCTGTTCGCAGTGTAGCCACATCATCGTATCTCCTAAAAATCAGCAAGAACTATTATCCACTCTGAAAGTTAAAATAAGCAGGTATTATTGTTGCGACTATGAGTAGAATCCAGCAAAAAAGTTTGTGTGTCTATTTTTTCGTGAAGGTCAGAATAATAGGGTGTGGAAAAACACATGACCACAAAATCTTCTAATAATGTTACCAAGGATGTTTTGCAGGTCAGGGAATCCGATGACACCATTGGCTTTTCAATATCTCCTCATTACTTACTATGATGTTAATTACATGAAAAGATTTGTCTGCTTCTGAATGATTCTATGGCAACAACAGACAGATCATCTGTCACAGATGATTCATAGCATGAAAAGGTGGGTGAGTTATGGATTAGCAGTGGCGAGCCACAAGTGGCGGACCATAAGAGAGACGCTGACGACAGGGGAGTAGTGGCAGGTATTGGTGGATGTCACAAATATGTTCGCATTGAATCGCGAAATACTTGGTGTGCCCAATCTTGAGTCACTGAACATCGAACATAATGTATGAAATGGAAAAACCACCATTTTGACCAAACTATGGAAGAACTGCCTAAAGGAGTGTGTCTGTATAGTTTTTTTCTGAAAGCACGCCAGGTGTGATCAGTCCAGAAGAGCGTTACTTGTCTATACAATTTTCCACCTGTATTTTGCAGTTTTATCTTTTGACCGTACTGCCGGACTCCTAAGACCTATTGTTTGAGATATAAGGCGACTCTTTTCAAAGATTGCTCAAAGATTTTAAAAAGAAGTACTCTAAAACATCAAACAGCAAACGTTTCGCCAGATCCAATTTATACTGCTGAAAAACCTCATAAAATGTCTAGTTTATAGAGCTGTAAACCACAGACAGGAAGATATTCAAACAGGAACGGATCGTCTTGATTACTATAGGAATGGGTAGCAGTTTCTATTGACAATAAAAGGACGATAGGCTAAAACGGTCGTACCTGTTTTCAGTAAAGCAATCAGCTCTATAACCGAGAAGCATATAATCGCGACCAGTGCCTGTACCTATATCGTTCATCACCATATTATAGCGTTGTCCTGTAACAGCCATTAATTGATTCATAAACCTATTGCCGGCTGGACATTCGGAAATAGTAAACGTTGTTGGATATTCCATTCTTTCCAAATCATTAGCAATTTGATTTGCTTTTGGCACTGATCCTCCACCTAGGCCATTGACTTCTTTGCTCGCATCAGCATTGACGATAGTCGTCGAAATATCGTACTCGATCATTTTAAGCTTGTTAGATACAGCTGATCAGCGTCGTCTAGAAATATATGTTTCTTTTTACGTCATGTAAAGAATAACACGTGTGGTGAAGCACTGATAATAAACGTGAGCGAATAGCTAGCAGCTATTTATGGAGAAACATACAGTGGGAAATACTTTTGACAAACAAAAAACAGGATTGGTTTACATATTAGCGGTAACAAAAACGACGAGGACGGGCGTGAATGTGGGTGTTGCTAAGAGCAAGAATGTGAGTAAAATACAATATCCACCTGTATTCACATTCCCAGCCTCACTCTCAAAACTTCAAGATGCGCTCGTATTAAAAGGGCAAAATTTCATGTGAGCATCATAATTAACGACAATTTTTTTGCCGTTTTCTAGGCAGGTTTGGTGTTCAAGCTGGTTTCACGTTTAGGCGTTTTCATTCACTGTAAGAGTTGCGACTCGTAACGGATGAAAAGGAGAAGAAGAATAAGTAAATGGAACTGAATGAATTTATTTGAAATAACTTAGCGGTATAAATACTACACCGAATAAAGACATGGATGACGAAAGAAGATGATGACATGAACAAGGAAAGATGATGAAATGTACGAGCTATACGTGATCATATGGTAACAGACCAGATAACAGCTGTCGAACATATGCGACGCATAGAACGTATGAAGAACGAAAGGAAAGAGGATGACAGATGCTGGTATGTTAGCGGCATTTTTTAGAAAGGAGGAATATGGAGGATTTTCAAAGGAAATTTTTGTAGGATTTCGTATGAAAAAGTAGGGAAAAGGAAGAAAAGGAGGAATTTCATTGTGTCGTGAGACAGGAGTTCTTTACAAGTTAAACTCATTAACATTCCGAAGGCACTTAAGTAAATACTTAACACAATTTCGACAATGTTTATTTATAAATATGATAAACGAGAGAAATAGAAAAGCAACTTCTATACTTATAGCAAAATCATAGTATATGTGAAACATCACACATGCTTATCACAAAAAACAATCTTATTTGACAAACTTGGTTGCATTCTCTTCTAACAATACTTGTTCGGCAGCCAATTTACGTTTCTTGTTTGACTGTTCACGATCAGCATGAGCTCGCTTTTGCTGAATCATTGAAATATCTTTCATGATCTGTGACATATCTTCATCAATAATTTTCATCTTTTCAGTTCCAATCTTGTTTAATGCATAGGCAGCTTGTATGTCAGTAAAATCTCTTTTTCTTAACGAATTTCCAATACGTTGATTTCCTTCTTCCAACAACAATTGAGCTGTTTTTTGTTCAGTTTGAAGTTTTTTATATTTTGACATGAGTTCGTTCTCTTGTTCCAAAAGCTTTTTTTTCTCAATCTCTGTCTTTTCTCGTTGTTTGTTCACTTGTTCTTGAGCTGCAACAATTGTTTTGTTTTTCAACAACTCGTCTTTATATGAAGCTGCTGATTTTTGAACTGCACGAAGCATTTCAATATTAATTGGCACCTGAAAAAAGACTTTTAGTTTCAATGAGCAATTCTCATTATTATTATAACTTCATATTACCTTGTGCACTGATCCATTACCTGAGAACGATTTTGCGTCATAAGTGGCACGAAGGCCGTTAATTGATTTTTCTGATAAGAGAGTGCGATCTTCAGTAAGAATATTTCCATTTATACTGAATCCTCGTTCTACATCGGCATTACCGTGTGATATTATTAGGATATTCTTGATGAGTTTGGATAGTGTTGGATATTTTGAACATCCATTGTGTCGAACAATTGACAGAATTTTGTCCCAATAAAAGTCAATTTCGTGATATTCAATATGTTCTTTTCCATCAACATCATTATATTTACGTTTAACTACCCATGAATCATCAATTGTTTCGATCGAATACAATAGCCACTCATCACTTAAAAGATCAATTTCATTTACCGATAATAAACCTGGTATATATCGACCTATACGAACAATGGCATCACAACCTTGTGGATCAGAACGATAAGAAACACCTAATATCTTCAGATCACGTAAAAACGAATTGTGCAAGGGAAGATTGGATTTTAAATACAAAGCAATTGAATGGAAAATATTTCTAACATCTTGAAAAAAGGTTTCTTTTTCGTCTTTTGATAATAATGTCAATGATTTTCGAGTTTCTTCGCCTATACGAAAAGCAAATAGACAACATTACAAGTTTTTATTCTACTTACCGATTTTTATTTGTTTATCATTCAATTGTTTTTCGGCTAATTTGTAATCAACTGACAATAATTCACCACCTTGTTTATTTCCAACATGTTCGATTGTTACGAATGATAATAAAACAACACGGTATAAATCAGATAATTCTTTATACAACAAATGAATCATTGGCCCAGTTTTTTGAAATATAGTTAAAAACTTATCAAAAACCACACGACACAAGTACGAAATGAACAAGAAACGCGTTCTCGAAATATTTGACGATAAAAATAATTTGATAGAGTTATATTTTTTGTTTTCTTTTATTTGTGCTTGATTATTTCCAGGCAAATACACAAGAAAATATTCCTTTAGAATTTCCCAATGAACTATTTGAAAAACAAACGTTTACTATTCGGTATAGTTTCGTTTAAAATTTACTCACTCAAGATTCGATCAACCACTTTACCAAGTAATACCCATCGTGTACAAACAAAGTATAAAATCGTTTTCTGAATTGTTTCATCTAACTCATCAGCAATATTTGCAAAATCTTCTTTTCTTGCTGGTGAATGCCGAAACCAAGACCAAATATCGATACAAAAAGTGTGAATATGCCAACATGACTTTGTTGTACCTACAACAGAGTAATTGAATTTTGTAAATAAAATATTCTTTATTAACTTCTTACCTGCTTTAAAAGCGTTATGAACTACATGGATGTGACATGGGCCTATCTTTAATAATTCACCGCCAACTTTTTTCAATTCTTCATCGAGAAGCTTCTCGATAGTTTTATTTACATTAGGATTGTCTCGTCCGATCATCAATAAACGTTTAATATCAATTCCATCTGTTCGAAACGAATCAAGAATGCTGTCTCGAATAGTGTGAGCGGGTGCATGACCAAGTAAAACTGACTTATAATATCGAGTAACCACACATTGCTTCTGAACACTCCAATACTTCAACAGCAAATCCAATTGTTTACTGTTTTGATGATTCTTTTGCTCATCAAAACACAAAACAAACCGTTCACATTGTTTAATATCTTGAATAAGACCACGATGAAAAAATGGCCCAAGACCATGTGAAATAACATATGATAATTTCACACGTTCCATTTTTATTTGTTGTGCAATGTTCGAATCTGGAAACATTTTCTTAAACAAATCGCTGGACCCATCACACGAGAGATAACTGTATCCATGACGAGCTGCATTCATCGCCCATAACGTTTCAGCACGTGTAACTTGATCTGAAAAACTAATGTTTTTTGTTGAAGGAGCAGCAGGTGTTGTCATTGAAACATTTGATGATGAACTTTGTTCTGAATGAATAAGATTCGATTCAGTTCGAATAGTAAATATATTATTTTCTTTTAATAATTTCAAATTATCTGAATGCTTTTTATTTTTCATGTGGCATTCAATAGACTGCCACCCTTTATTTCCACAGCATAAATCACCAGTTTTGCATAATGTACAGACGAATGTCGATTGTTGTCCACCTTGTTTTAGCCATCGTTTAACAGGAGTATTATCAAAGTCTAACTTTTCCAACCATGACGCATTGAACTTTGTTTTATGGAGGGGCATTTTCGTTCAAAAGCGCAGTTATCTGAAAGTATTTCGAAGTACACAAAGTTTAAAATTCGTTAACTCCATAACGATAGAGAATAAAAGGAGGAAAAGGAGGAGAAGGAGGGCGTATTTAGTAAAAAGGAGGAAATGGAGGAGCATTAACATACCAGCAGATGTCATCCTCTCACATTTACAACCGGGAAGTACAATTGTGTGTACGACGCAACCGCTTTTTATAAAATTTACAAGAGTTTCTGAGCGCTTACACCCATCCTTCGACAAATTCTGTCTATTTGGGTGCCATGTAGTATACTGCATCAATAGACCGTCAATTTAGTTATGCGGAGCAAATTTTTAATCAACAACATTTTACCTTAGATCTCACGATTGTAAATAATATTCTTTCTCTTCGTTTATTACAGAAGTAAAGGCGTAAGATGCAATCAGTTTATTTTTCATATTTTAATCTTTATATCGAGTTGGATTCTGTTGTGCGTATCTGAAGATAATTTGTATAAGTTAGTTTTTTCTGATTTGTATCTATATTCTCAACAACCGAAACGATTTCCGTTTTTTCTAGTTCGTTTCGATATTCGGTGTCACGGTAGTTAACGAAACCAAAAATTTTCTCACGTCACACGATTTGTCTCTCGTTTTTAGAGCGTTTTTGACATCTTAACTCCGGGGTTTTTAGTCTCGTGTCATTCAATTAAAAAAACAAACATAATAACGAAATAAAAAAAAAACTTCAGTAGATTAAATAGCAATGCTTTTCATCACGATTCAAATCACTAACATCGATTATGTAGAATTGACTTTATTGTCCAAGTCAACAGTATTGCTGCTCTACTAAAAGTTCCATTACGATTTATACTCAACTTCGAGATACTTTCTATCGTTCATTTCGTTTGAATACAATCTGTATAAGAAGGTGAGAACAAATGACTTAACGCCGTCAAAAGTTTATCGAGTCGTTCAGAAGTTCAATGACCAAGAAGAAAATGAGTTTTCGTTAAATTTGAATGGAAATTAAGTAAAAATTTCTCCAAACTTTCTAAAGCTGAACCATAATTATGTTGAGTGACTGTTCATCAAAAGATGATCATTTCCTACTGAATGAAGTAAATATTCTAATACCTGTTGAGAGACACAGCGACCACAGTAACCAGGCTTATAAACTATGTGGCAAGTCCGTTACTGATAGTCTATATTGTACATATATACTTTATCGGTATTGAAAAGTTAGTTAAACTACTGATTTCGATTTCTTTGTAGGTAAAAAGATGATACGTATCAGACGTTGTTTTACATTAACTTACTTTTTTCATTTAATTGGATAAAATAAATTCATACCAATTGAAACTACTGTTACTTGAAAGTATAGATGACAAAAAGAACATCGGCACTTTCACTCACAGTATTTTTCTCTTTTCTGCCGTTTTTAATGCGTTCCTGCGTAATAATGTGAGAAAAACAAATAAATCACTTGTTTTTTTTCTTCAATCAAGAGTGGGTTTTTTGTATTACTCTTTTGAAAATTCTACACATAGAGAAGTAATTTTAATGGATAATATGAATCTATCGGACGACTTTTTACGATGTCCAATAACATTGGAATTATTTAATGAGCCAGTCTCGGCACCAGATGGTCATACCTATGAGAAACACGCTATCGAACAATGGATTAGAAATCATGGAAACAGTCCTATGACACGTCAACCAATTTCAATGAAAGATTTAATACCTAATCGCACCATCTTATCTGCAGTCAATAGTTTTGAAACAATACTACGTCAAAAGAATTTTCAATTTACATTAGATGTTGACATAAGAAAAAAGGGTAGACGACCATTATTTCAAGCAACTGGTAAAACAATCTATGGCGCAGAATGGTTAACAGCTAACGATCAACGACCTGAAATAGTTTTATTGAAAATAGATGGTGCTCGAGCAAGAAAAGAAGCATCATTTTATGTCAATTTAAGTCGTCATCCAAATATCATACGAACATTTGGTTTTGTCTATGATCCAAATATTCCTGATCAAGAAAATACAGTTATACTTTTACAAGAATATGCATCTGAAGGAAGTTTATACGATTTGTTGCAAGATCGAAGAATTGTTCCCGATGAAAAAATACTTATTTACCTATTTTTGCAGATTATCGAAGGAATGATTTGTTTGGCATCGAATAATGTTGTTCATGGTGATCTGGCATGTCGTAATGTTTTGATCTTTCGTTTTGATGAAAACGAACCAGAGAGAAATGTTGTGAAAATTACCGATTTCGGTCTGAGTCGGCATAATCAACTATATTCGAGAGCACCAGGTGCAGCAAGAACAACACTAGACATTTGTCCTGTTCGTTATGCAGCACCAGAAATACTTGCCTCATTTAAAACATCAGTAAATTATACAGAAAAATCAGATATTTATTCCATGGGTGTATTAATGTGGGAAACATATTGTCGAGGTTCAGTACCATGGACAAATATTGAACGAGATGAAGATGTTATACAACGAGTAAGAAATGGAGAAATCTTGCCTCAACCATCCAATTGTACTCAACCTTATTGGTCAATCATTAAAGAAACATGGGCTATATCACCAGAAGATCGTCCGACATTCAATGAATTGAAACATCGTCTCTTCAGGCAATATTACCGTGAAGGAGTAATCGATGTACCGAGGAATATAAACACACAAAATTTTGCTCGATACACCGATGATTGCACTAAAATACCAAAACAAACAGCTCAATATCAACAAATAGAACGACCAGCAACAGTTACACGACCGGGTAATCGAATCTTCATTTCTATATCTTTCGATGTGATTCATATTTATTTTACTCATAGATCGTCAACATCACTTGAATTGTCGTGGTCGTCTTTGTTCCACGTGTGGCAAATGTCGTGATTGGTATCTTAATTGTGGATCTCCTCGAAAGCGTAAGAGTGGATCTTGTAATGCCTATAAGATGGATATTCTTACCGCTTGTCAACTTATGGTTGTTGGAATCACTACAGATATGCGTCCTTTACAGGATAAACATATGTGTCTTTGTATCGATAATAGAAGTTGAATCTTGAATAATAATAATTCTTCGGTTTGTTTTATCTGTTATTAGGGAACGAGAATATTTTCTTTCACGCTGATTAGGTTTTCATGATTCATATGAAAAGAAGAAATACAGACGAAATGGACATACATCGTAATCGAATGATTTTCGTTAATCAGAGAATATTCTTTTTGTGAAGTTTCTGTTTATGTTATAAAGTAGGTGATAAATTTGAATGCTTCTGTTCGTTAGTATTTCTATTTTAAAATCTCGTATTTTTTAGTTTATGTCGATTTATTGTATTGAGTTGAGCTCGTTTCAGTAGTGCTTCCTACACTTGTTCGTCATAAAAACAAAAACCCAAAGTAGATCAAATCATTGAAAACCTTTTGTACTATTACCGCAAGCTCATGCTCATGAAAATCAAATGCATCGACTAAAGCAACAAAATTTGAATGAAGCCAAGATTAAATACCACGTAAAATATGAGATTCACGTTCATAGATTTTTCAGCTATAAAAGATTTACAAATGTCCGCAGTCAAACATCCTATATCTATCTCTAGTGTTTTGCATACATAAAGACATTTTTTTTGTTCTCAATCTTTGGTCTAAACTATTAGAACTATTGTGAATTTATAGATATATCTTGGTTATCTATAAGTTATTAAAAATTACGGACAATAATAAAAATAGAAAACCGAATAATTTCAAACTGATGAAAACAAAAGATATTCATAGTCTAAAATAATTACCACAGAAACTAACAGACGAGAACTATTCATTCAAAATAACGTTATTATTCTGTTATTTAGTTCCCATACTGCTTTAATGGAATCAGTTTGTTTAGGGTCTCTTATATCCTGCCATGTAAACATCGATAAGTACGGAAAGTTGTATTGATGTGGTTCTATTTATTCTGTGAAATCACACGAAGGGAAAATAACAAATAGCCAAGATTGTTGGTAGGATTTCGTTTATTATATAATCACCTACGCAAGAACAATATAAACAACACATTATTTGTCATAGGTGGGAAGTACGATAGATTCAGTAGGCGGTGCAAAAACCTTTTTAGCCAGATTTCCTGCACCCATTCTCAAACCAAAACGTACGGCGCGCAGTACTGTATGAAACATAATGATTTCTCATTCAGTCTGTGGATTTGCAATCTACGGTGTTCTAGGAATCAAAGTTTGCGCTGGTACAATGAATGGGCGAAGAACACTTTCATAGGAAGCAAATGCATCTTTATCATCTTTATGACCAAGCGATTTCTCCAGCAAGAATATAGGCTCCTACAATTTCAGTAGTTGTACCCATGCCAATCATTGGCGAAGGACAATAAGCAGCATCACCTACTAAGACAATTTGATTTGTGCAACTTCTTTTAGATAAAACACGAGGTGCTTCCCAGTCGGCATCTTGAAATAACTTATATATTTCTGCCTTTTGTCTTTCTATGTCGAGTTTTCCTAGTCCATTTTCAGAAGTACAGGTTCCTAGATAAGCAGTTGTCTTTGCAGAGCTGATTTGTACTCGATCCTTGACGACAGTTATATTATCTTCAAAGATCTATTCGACATCGGTATGAGTATGTTCATGAAGTATCGTAGCGAGCTCTCCTCGCATTATCTCTATTTCGGAAACGAAACTTGGACCATACCCATTGCATTGAGAGGAAAGGCAGCTTTTGTATTATTTTTTCTAATATGATTGACGTTGAAAATAATAATACATAGTGAAAACTATACAATATGTGTTGTTAGTTGGTTATATTTCAACGAAGATTCTGAAAATGTAATTGAAGAGTATTAAGTAACATTTACTCATTTGTCTTCGAAATATTTTCTATGGCTTATATCATTTGACGATAGTTGATATCAGTAGGTGAGAACAACTTTTCCTGTATGGATAACGTCGATGTGTAATAATTCATTGCCATCGATAGTTTATCGAGTCGTTCAGAAGTTCAATGACCAAGAAGAAAATGAGTTTTCGTTAAATTTGAATGGAAATTAAGTAAAAATGTCTCCAAACTTTCCAAAGCTGAACCATAATTATGTTGAGTATAATGAACTTTTCCTAGATTTTCATAAGTTCTAACTGTTTATCAAGATGATCATTTCCTAATTCTAATGCTTGTTGAAAGATACTTGAAGCGAATTGAGAATCTTCTTTTTCTAAATGAACTTCACCGATGAAATTGTAAAATGTACCAATCGTACTCGTTTCGATTTGGTTCTCGACATGTTTCATTGCTTGTTCATACCAATTCAATGCTCGTTTATTTTCATATTTAGCATGAGTAATTTGTCCCAGATGAACTAATGTAAAGAATTGATCATTAGAATTCGAATGACGTAATTGTTCTCGATACAAATGTTCAGCTTGATCTAAATGAGCCATATCACGTAAAAATATAATAGAAAGAATCAAGATTAGATTGACTAGTAATTGAATTTCGAATCCATTTGAAGAAATCTTTTAATTGATGATCATGTTGTCTGCATAATTGAAGTTGGACAAACCAATGTTGTTTTTCTTGACAGAATCGAACATTAACTAATCGAAAAACACATTCAGCCATGAATAAATCTTCTGCTTCTGTTTCAAATTGACTTTCAGTAAATAAAATGAAAACAAAAAAATAATAAATAATTTCAATTGATAAGAATATTTTTTTGAATTCTTTTAAAGCCCGAATCAGCAATATATAAATCTCCATTGAATTTATCCAGATAAATTCCTTCTGAATAAAATAAATATTCAGTTGTATTTGATCGTTCATCCATAGACCCTTCATATGGTTTTCCAATAATATCAACACCTGTTAATCCTGTGAATTGATTAACTAATTTAATTGTTTTATCTTGTGATATATAAATATTTCCATGACAATCACATTCAATTCCACTTGGACATATATCTCCATTTTGCAGTATAATTTCACCTTTAGTTGAATTTTTTGACCAACGTTGAATTCTATTTCCATCAGCAACATATAAATCATTTGTAAAGTGATCAATAAAAATACTTCGTGGATAAGATAATCGATTTACTTCTGAACTTGCTGTTCCATTTCCTGCAACAACTAAATAATCTTTATAATTTGGCGCCAACCATTTCACAACTCGATGATTATTAAATTCAGAAATAAAAATATTTAAATTTTCATCTAAAGACATTCCGTACGAACTTGTTTTTTTGCCATTAATTAAAATTGTTGATTTATTTAAATTTTCTACGAAATATTGAACACGATAATATCCTTGAGAATCTTGATCAAGAAAATATAAATTATCATTTTCTTGATTAATAAATAAACAACGTGGATAAATTATATTGAATTTTTCATCAAGAATGATTTGACCATGTTGTTTTTGTCCAAATAAATATTTTCTTATTTGATTATTATTTGTATCAGCAACATAAATATTTCTTTTACTATCAAGATAAACAGATGTTGGCCCTCTAAGTTTATTTAATTGATCATTTGATGCATAAGGTACTCCAGCTACAATTTCTCCTTCTTGTCGATATTGTGGATTTAAACGACATGCCGATAAATTTACATTTTCTATAATTGAAAAATAAATTCAAAATTTCTTTTCAGAAATTCTAGGAAAACTTCTGATTTCATTGATGATTTATATGTAATGAAAAAAGTCTATGAGAGATGAACTATTCTTAAACGTCTGAAAATTCTAAATTTATCATTAAAAATCTTTTTCGATTTACACGATTTATAATCTCTTTTGAATTTTTATCTACCGGAATTACGATTGTATAAGTATGGACAACGGATTTTTCTTAGCAGGAAAACTATGAATTTAGTTGAGTTGGTTCGTATATCTTTTAAAGAATTTTGAGAAAAAAAGTTTAAAACCCCCCTGTATTTTCTCTCATGGATGGTCTGATGAATAATCATATTTTTGTCAATGACTCATCTATTTTTTGACGGATCGATTGTATCTTCGAATTCAACCGAAATATTGATAAGAATGAACTGTGTAGAAAATTTCACCTATTCATTTTTGAGTACATTAGAAAAGCTAAAATCTTCACCTATAGTTGATGTTAAAGTAGAACTTTGTGATGCTGTTGGAAATGTCGAAGATTTTTGTTTATATAAAAATATTGATATACCACTAATTAATAAAACAATAAAAAGAATAATTGCACAAATAATTAATTTTAATTTTAAATTTTCAAATCGAACGGTATTTTGTGAAATAGAATGTTCAATAATAGGTTCGTCATCACGTACAACATGTGGAATTTGTAGAGAAAAATTTGCCATAAACTGAAATATTAAATCAATGTGTGAAATGAACGATATGATAAAGATAAAGTAACTGTCAAATCATGTCATTTTGCACAATATCATCGAAAAAATATCCATTAGTCACTATGATTTTCTCTCGAAAGTAATGATCGGACGAAAAGGAAGTGAGTCATTGTCGAATGTTTCTTTTTCGTTATCCTAAATGGTCGCTTATTCAACATTGATTTACCATGAAAAGAAAATTATTGAAGTGTATCGAATATTATCATTTTTTGATTTTAGAAAAAATATTTTCAATGCAAGAAACTTCTGTTAAACGTTATCCTCTTGATTTATTCAATAATGAAGAAATTTGTAATCCATTAACATTAATATGGTTGGATAAAACATGTAATGATGATTTACTTGATCCATCATATGTTCGAACATTATTAAAAAAATCTCATCAGAATTGTTTATTTTATAATGATATCAAAGTATTTATTGAACATATTCATAAACAATTGATATTTCAAAAAAGTACTCTTTTAATTGTATCAGGATCTTTTGCTGAAATTCTTTTAAATGATCATTCAATTCGAAGGAAAATTTCTTCGATGAGTATTTTTT